GAAAATTCACGAGTACAACTCGATTTTCCGAAGATCTTCTTTCTTTTCAGTTGCATAGACGATTGACCGAGCAGATGGTTAACTTATAAAGCTTTCTTTTGCTTAGATTCAAGCGAATTCTTGAAAGACGCCTATTGTTTCGACTTATTCTTGGTCCAAGCTGACGCCGATTGTGTTCAGGAAGCCAAATTTCTACTATCAATTGGGTCAGTTGATGCGAAATAATTCAGGTTGTTTTGGGTACGATCTTCCTTATGAAGAGTAAAACCTTACAGCTTTAGTGGTGATCTTGTAAATAACTTTATTTATAAGACAGCCTGTGCGACGCGTATCACACAGTGAAGCTATAACAACATGATACCGGACTCTTCACTGCTATTTGTAATAAAAATATTCTCGAAAAATGTCGTTTCGAAATATGTAAACAAATATACTTTCGGCTGTGAATAGCCGAACGTTACGCGGTTGTATCTAAATTCCTTAGTTGTTTAAATTTGGTGACCTGTAATTTTTAATCCTATTTTTTATAGTTTAAGGACTTGTAATTTGCTCCTACCGGGTATACCGCAACAACAACGAGTCTGTGCAAGCCAGTAGTGCTTACTCGAATTGTGCTGTTCGTAACTGTCAAAGACCACGGGTCATGTAGGCAGACCATCGTATGTAAAGGCATGCTACCCTTTGGTGTTTGTCTCCTTGCGACACCGTTCATTTTCATCATATAATTTCCCCTGTGTTATTGTCTTGGTGTTACTTTTCGAGTCTCCCACCAGGGTGTTCGACTGTTGCATTAAACCTAAATGAGAGCTATATTGGCATGCTCTAACTGGACTGTACTGCATCTGATTTAGTCCTTAACAACCTTCATATATTCGTTTCTCCGCACTGAACGGAAACATTCACGTTAGCTCAGCCAAAAATCTCGGAAACAGACTGGGTCTCATACTGAAATACCGTTCCTTTCGAGAGTAAATCCAAAATGTTGGAGCTTTTGACGACTCGAGTAATTGGGTTTGAAAAGTTGCAGGCAGATTTGAATAACCTATGTCCTCTTTCAAGGGGAGATAAAGCTACAGCGGTTCTTTTTTGTGACTAATATGGCAGCTATAACTTCTGTGAGCTCCAAGCTCGTGTTTTGCGCTCACTAGGTGGTGATTTGAAGTTGTGTCAGCTATTACACGACCGACCAGCTGATTGGTAAGACAGCCCGGTCCTACTCAGAGCCGAGGGTCGGGCCTACATAGCTTCTCACCTTTGTAAATCGATATCAATTTCCCCGACGCCTTGTCTTTGTGAAGTTAGGGACCAAATCGTATATGGCATGTGTGGGTGGACCGCTCGGTCTGTTTACTATCAATGGGAGCGCTTTTTGAACGGAAAAAGCGAAGCAGGCCAATCACAGCCCCCACTATTGACAAATCCGTGAATACAGTAGGTGACGTACCTGAGGAACATTTCAATGAAATTCTCAACTGTGACCTCACTTAGAGTTGATTACTCAGGGGCGATTGTATTATTGAGTATCAGACTGCCTTATCCCAGAATTTGTTTGCTAATTCCAGCAGACCTGCCTTCGAATGAGCACTATTCCGTTCGCCCTCAAACATCACTCGCTAAAAATAGCGTTCCTCATTGATGTCCGATACTCTTATCACTCCACTCATATTTTATGGAAGAAACGTTCAAAAAATATTCGCGCTCATACTAATCTCATTGTAAATTATATATTTAAATTTTCCATTAGAAGAAATAATATTTTTTCGTACCAAAACCCCTTCCGATTACCGTTTGAATCCCATTTTTCGTTGCACTTGCGTTTAGAGTTTCCAGACGGCAACCGTATATTTTTTCATATTTCATATTTTTTCATTCAGGGACAATTCTAGGCTCCTCTATGCTATTTCTAAGGTGTCATAAAATTGTGTAGTTAAATAAATAAATAAATAATATTTGCGCAATAAATTGCGCAAGTCACGTTGTATACTTTATAGGGATGAATAATGGATGGGCAGATACTGTGCCACTCAAATAAACGTTTTACGATCGCAATAATTCTTATAATTACTAATTTCCTTAGACCCGAAAGTTTCCCTTTCTTCGTGCCGAAATTTTTAATGCGTGTTTTACTTCAAAATGTGTATGAAAACCGCTTGTGCTTGTTTTTTGTTAAAAAAATATCTTTACATTTGCAGGGACCTCGAACAACAATAAAAAATATAAGCGGAAGGAAGTCAACTATCAGGTTACGGAACTTGCTCGTACCGCTGCGATTTTCGGTCTGACCTGTATTCTTCACGATCAATCTTGATAAACACTAAGAAGACTGGGCTGGCCGTTTCCGGCTTATTGCTCATCATCAGTCAGTTATATCCATCGACGGGTTTAGATAATCTGAGCTTTGAATCCGATTTTTTTCGATCTTTACTCGTTACGCCCAAAGTTCGATCACTGAACAACACTCCTTTTCTGTCGATATTCATTTTAGCGAGGGATTTTTGCAAGCCACTGGAACGGTGCTCACTCGAAAACTAGTACCCTCGTGTTACTGAAATATTTTGGA